TTTTCCCATCTTCTTCTACATATTTTTCCCATCTTCTTCCCACATAGTTTTCCCATCAAGTTCCCATATAATTTTTCCCATTTCTTCCCACATAGTTTTTCCCCATCTTCTTCCCACATAGTTTTTCCCATCTAGTTCCCACATAGTTTTTCCCATATACTTCCCACATAGTTTTTCCCATATGCTTCCCACAAAATTTTTTCCATATACTTCCCACATAGTTTTTCTTATATGCTTCCCACAAAGTTTTTTCCATATACTTCCGACATAGTTTTTTCCATATATTAATATTAGATGATGTATTATTTTGGGATAAAATATTATGGGATAAATTATTTATTGAACATTAAGAATTAATTGGAATCTATTAGTTGCAATGAATTTTTAAAAGCAGACATATAGAATATTAGCTGAAATTATTCTCTGCATTGATCCACAATCATGTTTCTGTGAAGAGTACTTGTACTATTAATAAAGGAATATATAATATGAAAGGAATGTATAATATATATAATATGAATGTGAAGTGATATATATAATATGAATGTGATCAGATATAGTAGATCTAGGTAGAATGTTTAAAACATGTGAAATTATTCACATTACTATTATATATAATTATATTATAATTCGTAATACCTGTTACACAGGCACTTCATTCTCCTTTTTAAATAATATTATTACCTTTTATCTTTATAGCAATGAAACAATCGATATGTTAAACTCGCTATCAGTCTCAATTTCATATCAGACAGTAAGATAATTTGACGCTTTTTTTATTTTTGTGAAATGAAATTTTTTTTCTCATGATTCGTTTTTTATTATCATTTTAATATTTCACAACATGTTTCGTTTAGAGAAATTTCAGACTATAAAAAATATTGTATCCCTTTTATTCATTCAAATAAGAAAAAGAAAATTGTATGAAAAATTAAGCTTTATTTTTATAATTTTTATAATCTTATTTTATAAACTATATTATATAATAATAGTATTTATAATACATTTGTAAACAATTTCTCTTTTACATATAAAATAACTATCAATCAATATTAATAAAATAAGTAAGGATTATATACAATCATTGAAATATCTTATTCTCAATACTATTTGTACAAGAATTTTGTAATCTAAAATTATCCATGTTCTTAATATTCTCATAATAGTGATACTGCATGATTTATATAAGCAAATAAAATCGCAATAGAAGCATATGATGAATTTCATAAAAGCAACTTTTCTTTGAAAATATCTCTTTTTTGAAAGTTATCGATAACAATTAAGGCACATAACTTGTTCTTTACAGTTATATCTGCAACAAAAATATTTCATGTAATTACAAATGCATATTTAAAGCATACATAGAGGTAAAGCTTATATAGTGGTATGACCAGACTTACACAGGTAGAGAACAGTTTTGACAAAACAATTCTGAACAATCAGCGCATATAGATAGACAGGAAGAACATAATGCTTGATCACAATAATGGCATGTGTTTACTGTAAATCGATCTATCAGCCGGCAACACGTACAAAGTTCCACTCGCATATCCTAAGAGAAAGATAAACATCAAGCAAGATTCCACAAGGTCGATCGATTGCGAATGTTCGACATAACTTACATTAATAACTTTGTCGTTAGTTTTCAATTTCAATTTATTGGTTAGCAACATTTGTTTTAAATTGGATTTAGATCTACAAGGTAACGAAGATTCAAGTGAAGGTAAGTCTACAAAATCCTGTGCAGATGTGTCTAATTTGTGAGCAAGTGCTTTTGCGCCTGCCTTGAGTAAACTCAGAGTTCTATCTGAAAATGAAATTCATGATCTGAATAAAGTTTTAAAAACGTAAAAAATAAGATTTAAAGATCTACAGATTATCAATGCAATGTTTCAATATTCACCATAAATATCTTTCATCCGCTGATCACTCGACACTCCGTTATCCACTTGTTTCTGTCCTACGTGTACTTTCATCTGTGGCAACAAATTCTCTTCGAAGGGATAGGCACGTTTCGGCATTTTTCAGCATTAATTGATCAAATAGATTAATAAAATAGCGTAAGAGTAATGCTTCCTAGGTTTGTAAAGCTCTACAGCGGCAACAGGAAAGTCGTAGAAATAAAGGCTGATTATGTCGGTTTTGTCATGCCGCTTTTTTTCATCGACCGATAGTTTTTAATTTTTTATGCAAAGCTTTTATGCAAAGATTCATCCTACACTACTTTAGAACTTCTGTATAAAAAAAAATAGCTAACACGATCAAAGAATAATCATTTGTTAGTCAATTTTCTTACTGCTTAAGGTTTGCTACTCCCGTTGTAAACGACTCTTAAAGCACATATGCACTATTATCTTATCTATAGTTTATACATCTGTAATAAATCTAATTTTAAAGGAATTTCGTGTACATAGTTAGTTTTTTCATTGAAAGTCACTTCGCTACGTAGTAAGAATCAAATAAATAATGCTACTTATTCAGTATAATTTCAGGCCATGTAATTTAGTATAATGATTCGAGTTTTTAGTCATACATCAAGAAACGTATGTTCAGTCAGATTTCCTAACCTTTTCTTGTGGCGGGAGACGCACGCGTTTGACTTTGTTCTCAGGACTATGTCGAAAAACTCGGTTGTGAGAATCGGCACGCATGACGGGCCTTTCCACTGCGATGAAGTCTTGGCCTGTGCACTCTTAAAACTGTTGCCAGAATACAAGAACGCGTCTATAATTAGGTAAATATAATTAAAAGCAAAGAGTTCAATGCATTAAATAAAATTGTTAAAAAAAATTAAATAACGTGAATTATATGTTGAAAAAAATAAATAAAAGTTATTGAATCAATGGATACATTTTTAGATCTCGAAATCAAAATATCTTAAACACCTGCGATATAGTGGTGGATGTTGGTGGAGAATATGATCCTTCTAGGCATCGATACGACCATCACATGAGGTAAAATATCATATTTTCTAATGAAATTATATGAAATCTTTTAATTTTTGTCACATTGTTACTTGTTTTTTTTTGTGCAACAGAGAATTTAAAGAATCAATGAGTACTATTATGAAAAAACCAGGATATGATTGGACAATAAAGTTAAGTAGTGCCGGATTGATCTACTGCCATTATGGTCACGAGATATTACGGAGTGTACTTTCAGACGTAACGGAGGACAAAGTCATTGATGAGATCTTTAAGCACGTTTATGACACTTTGATAAAAGAGATTGATGGCATAGATAATGGCGTGCCAATGTATGATGCTGAACCACTGTAAGTAGTTGCTTGTGACATTACATCTTGCATGGCAAGCCTGAAATTATTGCATCTGTTATGGTTTATTTCAGGTATCGAATAGTCACTGATTTAAGCGCTCGCGTAGGCAGACTGAATCCTCAGTGGAATAGTCACGATGTAGATGTTGAGGAACGATTCGAGAAAGCTATGGCTTTAGTTTTGGAGGAATTTTTAGAATTTGTACAGTACACGAAAAATGTTTGGTTGCCAGCAAAAGACATCGTGCGTCGTGCTGTGGAGAGTCGATTCGAAGTAAGATATCTCTCTTGGAATAAGACTTCTCTTGTTCATTTTTATTCTTCTTTTGGATATATTTCTGATTGTTTAACATAAAATATTTCCATAAGGTCGATCCGAGCGGAGAGATAATAGTATTATCGCAAGTAGCACCATGGAAGGAACACCTTTTTCAATTGGAGAAAGAAATGAATGTCTCGCCGTCAATAAAATATACTATTTTCGAAAATCCAGATTCTTACAGGGTTCAATGTATGCCGGAAGCGCCGGGGAGTTTTGTGTGTAGGATGTTCTTGCCAGAAGCATGGGGTGGTTTGCGCGATAGCATTCTTGTGGAAGCCTGCGGGATTGAAGGCGCCACATTCGTACATAGTGTTCGATTTATCGGCGGTAACAAAACCAAGGATGGTGCATTAGCTATGGCGCGCAAAGCGCTTGAAATCGGAAAGGCTGTACAATGTATAAAATGATGATGTCTAGGTTACTAATTTTCTCTAAGATTTTTACAATCATTTTTGAATAATTTTGAAAGCTTGTTTTTTTAAATCCAAATCATGCATTTTGCTCTATTTAAAGATCCCTTTTCTGTTTTACATTCACAAATCATAGAAAAAATATAGAAAAATTCATTTTTTAATTTAGATAGTCGTGGAATGTTATTCGTCTCGAAGTCAATATTATATTTCGCATCATATTATATATTAAATATAATTTATCCGAAGCGAAGTTTTTATAGTTTGACAAAAAAATTTTAGTGATTCTTCAAAAGTTAAACTGCCGTACATTAAGTATATCTGAATGATTTGATAAGAATATAACATATCGATGTAATATATGCTTTTTCAGAGAAACTTAAAAATGGTTCATTTATTATAAAAAATTCTTTACATCAGATCCATACATGGCACATGTGACTCCATACGTTTTTCTGCAATTAGAAAGCCATAGCTTGATTTTATCGATACGCGATTTCCGATAGTTTTCCAATTTGTCAATGAGCGTTTCGGGCGGCCGCCTGAGCGTGCGCTGCCAAGTGCGCAGCTTTAGCCTGGGCTACCTCGGGGGTGTCGATCACTCTGCCGTCAGGTCCAAGTGGAGCATAACTGTAAGCGTAGAATGCAGGCGAAGTGGCGTATGCAAGAGCACCATATGGAACCAATCCGATTGTCTTGGCAGCCTCCTGTGTGAACAAATACTTCATTAAACGCTTGTCGACATGTAAAATAATTACGAATTAACAAATATCAAAACAAATTTCAAAGGCAAAACGAAATAAGCGAAATCACAATTTATGGTCTTACGTTTTATATCATAGATTAATGTTGGTTCTCGACTTGGAATAATAAAGAGCAGTACTAGGAAGAATATCGGTCACGAGTAACCGTGCCGTTTGCACAATTTCTAAATGAGTGTCGTACTTGGGCGTGAGCGGCGAGATGGGCAGCCTTGGCCTGGGCGACCTCAGGTGTGTCTACCACTCGGCCATCCGTGCCAACGGGTGCGCCATACGTAATTGCAGGTGCATAAACCGCAGGTGCATAAAGAGCGGGCGCGTAGCCGTAGCCGAGCGTATTCCTGGCGGCTTCGTAGGCCTGAGTAGCGAGATGCGCCGCTTTCGCCTGCGCTACCTCCGGCGTGTCCAGGACCTTTCCATCCGGTCCAAGTGGTATACCGACGTGATATGTCGGATAGATTGGCGTTGCGACCGCAAGGGCGCAAAATGCAAATAGAACAATCTGTAAGATGAATGCACGAGTGATTTTCTCGTGTAATTATTCCAAATATTTACGAGGTTTTTTTCATTTTCATTCTATAAATTAGAAAAGCCTAACTATGGAAAGAATTAAAGAATATCTGCACCAAATATACTTACGATAGCCTTCATATCTTATTAGTGTGGTAGCGCTGCTGGATGATTACCAGTATTCACCCTAAGGTATGAACTGCTATGTACCGTGTGAGGCACGGATCCCCTTTTATATATGTGAATCCTGGTAGGGAGTCGTCGACCCGTAGGAGGGGACCACGCCCTGCAGCAAGTGTTATACCTCAAAGTGCTGACATTGACATTACGTTAATGAGGCCCTGCCACCGTCTGAATCTGCCTGGGGAGGGATACACCTCTCCTCAGATCTGGACGCATCGCCGAGGTCAGTCCTGCACCGTCTTCCAGCATCGTTAGCCGGCTCTTTTTTCATACTTTCCATCATCGTCAAGAGCGACCACTGAAGCCAAGGGCCTGGCGAAGTTAATAGAAACTGATTCGCCGCATGAAGGGTCGGTTACTTTTTTTTTTGCAAGATAGATCGTGCGGAAGGTAATTCGGACCATAAAGGTTGTTTATTACCGCGAAAATAATAAATAATGAGCGTTCCTCTCACGTATAATCGGACGTATAATCACAATACGCGAGAGCATCCATTTATGAATTTAGCGTGCTAAATGAGGCTTAATTGATAAGCGATATCCCGACGATTAAAATGAAAATAAATATGTTAGTTTTTCTACTGAATTTTACATGTAATTTAACGTGCAGGTATTATTTAATATAAACCACTGAATTTTTTATTATTATTAAACTTAACAATCTCATGATCTTCGCTATGTTTATGTATTTAAAAAGCATAATAATAAACGATATAAAAATGCAATTATTTATGATTCTACCTGTCGGTATTCCAAGTCTTATCGATAGATTCCTATCTGCAAGAAAAATTCTTTGCAAAAAAGAAGGATTCAACAAGCCGTGCCGCCGCATGGCGGGGAAGAGATTTCCCGTTCACCGCGTTACTATAACTTTTCGATATATTCTCAGGTATGGCCGATCAACGGCCGTCCTTGCCGGTATCAAAGCGAAGCTGCCGAAAGACTGGAAAGGAAAGGAAGGGACAAGGCGCAATTAAAATGTATGAAGTGCGACGTAGAAAAAGAGACCAATTGAAGTGAAGGTCGGCCACGCGTCCTCGGGACTTTTCCTGGATAATCAGGACGGATCAGCTTCTTTTAACGGGTGTTCGATGTGTAACCGGCAGGTGCGGAGACGCGTCTTTTTGCTCGTCGAAAATTCCGCTTCCTCAAGGTCTCACTTCCTGACGAAACTCTCTTTGTGCCGGGTTCATGTAAGCCCGCAAATATTTCGCGAGAAGATATTTTCGAGAAGCTAAAAGAAGATTTTATCTTTTCACTCGAAATTAAGGTGATTCTTATCACTTCGGATAAGACGATAAGAAAATAAAAAAACATTATTTCCTCCTTCTGTGGAAATTAAGACATATTAATTACGGCGTATATCGAAAAAAAATATTTTCTAGACATTTTTCACAATTCTATTTAAAGGGGCTTTCAGTTTCAGAAGACTTGAAACTCGCAGAGCTACATCTTGTTAATATTTATTTAAGCGATTCATATCTGTTCTATTTATTAAATAGAAATGTAGTAAATCGTAACACAAGTATTACATTAATTCATTATACGCCAACGTAACGTAACGTTCGTTGAGCAACGCCCGAGTGGTAAGACATATTTGCACATAATGGCGAATTGTTAACCTTATGATTCGCGCGTACATAAATGCGAATTAACACAACTTGTTAATTACTAAAATCATTTTAACTAATTTAATAAATAATTAATGAGCAATCATAACTAGGTCACTTACGAAAATCGATGTTGGGATCATCGCGGTGTGCAATATAAAAATTAAGATATATTTAAAATATATTCGAAATTAACAAGAGTCTTTTATGCAAAAACACAAATACATCTACAATACGTAGTATCTACGACACATATGATTCTGTAATAAATGACGCTGTCCGGAATGTTATGTTAATTTCGACAATCACTTTATTATTAAATACGAAGAATTCGCATTTCCCTCGTTCCAAAATCAGACGAGAAATTTTCCCGCGCTGTGTGGGCGCTTTATTAACGCATAGAGACTGTCGGAGAACAAAAGCTCTTTTCCTTGGAATTCAAGATAATCTCGGTACGCAGGCGAACCTAATTGTCTATTAGCATAAGCGCAGGTACGGAGCATAATCGAGCCGGGTATGGTCATAAATGGCCCATTAAACGCGATTCGCAATTAGTCTGCTAACTTGTGGTTTTCCTTCAAGCCGTGTGAGTTGAAGCATCTCGCGATGACCCGTAAATACTGATTAGGAAGATCGAGCGATTGTCGTAACGTATCGATTACGACGAGCTGCCATTCTTCATGCTGAAATAATTATATAAGATACTTTAAAATTCGTAATTTAGAAAATTGCTTTGTCATGAAGAAATCCACTTACAAATTAATAAAAGAGCAAAAAGAAGAGAAAGGCCTGCTACATTTTAATTTTACCTTTTTAATTAAACATAAAACGTGACAAAAAATAAAAGTTGAAGAAAAAGACAAATAAATAAATATTAAGAAATCTAGAAAGATCAATTTTAATTTAAAATTGATCTAATTATTGATTTTCGCTCACTTTAAGAATTTATAATTAGAATTCTTTTTATTAATGGATCAAGAGGGATTTATTGATTTATGGCGAGTGACGTCTATAATATATAATACGCCATAATTCAAGGGGTGTCGGAATCGCTTGCTTGAATGTGAAATGTTGCGAACCTTGATTCGATTGCGACGTATTCGAAATGGGAGTTCGGGACGTGGTAAAGTGATCGGATCAATCATTCCACGGATTTGTTTGTAAGCGCAAAAAGACGATGAGGTATTGCCAGCCGGCCTGCGAGGCCGCAGGCGGATGTTGACAGGTATGCCTGTTGCATACATCGATTCTCGACAAACGACCCGATTATTTATAGCATTTCGCGCCGAAGTGACGAATATTTCTCTAAATTACGCTCTTTCTTCTAACGTTTGTAAGTTACAACCGGAGCCGTTGTCCATCACTTAAAGTTAATAAAATTAATAAAGTTATATTTTTAATAATATCCTTATTTTTACTCTTATATATTTATCAACGATATGTTGTAAGGCTAATAATTAAACATGATTTTCTATCAAAGTCAAAATAATAACAAAGTTATAAGTAATTCTTAGAGAAAAATGTATTACTGAAAATTACCAAGAAAAATACATAATTAAATGTAATTAAATATTAGCAATACTTTGAAGATATTTCAACGCAATATTATTGAATCATTGAAATATTTTATAAAATGATATTAATTGATGAAATACTAACAATTCTTTATAATTATATTTTTACATGTAGAAAATTTTAAAGTATAAAAATGTTATATTTAAAAATTATGTTAAAAAATGTTAAATGCTTTATCCAAGTAATTTTGAATTTTTTGCAGTATTCCATTGGTATATCAAAAATATATCAAGAATTTTAGTATTAATATTTAATTAATTCGAATCGAAACCTTAACATTAAAAGTATTTGCAATTTTTAAGAATTCTGGTAGTTAACCAGAACCTGATAGTTAACCATCAAACGTAGACATTAATAATTCAAATAATCATAAACAATTAAATCATCAACAACTTTATTTAAAACTGTTGAGAACAATATCAATATATATTTAATAATATTACATGTGGAACAACAATTATGCATAAATTTATTTTGTATAAAAATTTTCTCAAAAGTGTAATGTATTTCATACATCAGATTTCTTTGTTTTCTCTATTCTTAGCTAAAGAAATATTATACATTTAATTCAGTAGAAATAGTGGTAGGAGGATTACTGTTGTAATAAAATGAGAAATCGGATAACAACAGGATGTTTTATATTTCTTACAAGCTAAAATACGTTTTAGATAACGAGTCAGTACGTGAAACATGCAATTCAGTCTGAAAGCTGATGACGTAAGGTGATTTACAACTGATTTACAACGTATCACGAAACTCGAATATATTGTATAGCAAACTACTACTCTGTATAAATTTAAGGCACATTCTCCAATTGCGTAGTCAATGTCAATTTCATAATTCCATTAAATTTTTTTGGCATGTCGTCGCCAATTAATCGTAAAAGAATCAGCTTATAGTCATATTGCATTCGTGTCCCTTTGATTGACAAAATCAATAATCGTTGTAATCATTAATTGCTCTATCATTATGAGACGTGTCGCCGTGATAGCCGTGGCTATAAACCGATGGCTTGTAAATCTGCGAATGATCGTATGAGACAGGTACTGAGGAAGCTATGTGATTGTAAGCCGCCAAATGCGCAGCTTTCGCTCGGGCCACTTCCGGCGTGTCTATTACACGACCCTGAAAAATTAAGAGAAAGAGAGATAGTAAAGAAATAAAGAGCAAATTGATAGATTTTCCGTCAAATCATAATTAAGTTAATTATTGTATTTTTGTTATTTACCTTAATTGATGAACCTGAATTAAATACGCTTTCAGGAATTATTTTTGCATGTAAATGGAATTATTTTGTGCATTTTTGAAAAAAATTGAAAAAAAAGTTTTCGACAATTGCTATTGCATCGAACCTTTCAATAGTATGTTCATTCGACTGAATGGAATAAAAATCTTACATCGCGATCTAACGGAGCAGGTGGTCCGTGATATCCGCGTCCGCTGTGGTAGTTTTGATGACCGAGCGATACGGGCTTTGAATATCCGTGATAGTTCCGATTTTCCGCGTAGGAAGCCACGCTGTGCGGAACCCTCAAGGCGGCTTCCGCCACGGCGGCGAGATGCGCCGCTTTGGCATGTGCCACTTCCGGTGTATCCACGACTCTCCCGTCGTGGCCTATGGGCGCCGGTGGTCCATGATATTGGTATTGCGTTGGCACAGCCAAAGTTATGGAAACTGTGACGATTACGATGATCTGTAAACGAATAAAATTGATAAAAACAGTTTAGCATTCCTAAACTTATTAATATTTTAGCAAAATTAATTTTTTTAATATTAACGGGAAGGAATTTTTATACTTCTTATTGCAGATCCAACAATTTAATTAATTATTAACAGTGGATGATAATGTGACGTATGCATTTGATAAAGTCTTGATTAAGAATAATTGTAATGATTCGATGAAATTACGTACCAAGAACTTCATTGTTACGTTCAATTCTGAATAGAAATGCCACCGTTTTATAACCATCGATACCAAAGTGCTCGGTTTATATACAATCGGTTATTTAATCTTACCTAACAGTTTTACCCCACCAATGGTGAACACCGTTCAGCCAATATTTGCGATCGATCGATTTTTGTGAAACGTGTCAAGATGATATTTTTGCATAAGCGGTGCAAGATCGTATTACGATAAAGTAATTAATTTAATTGCGATTATTTGGATCAGAATTCAAACGTGTCTAATTGTTGATCGAATCCTGATCCTCTATTAGATCTCGCAACAAAGATATTAGGAGCCAGATATTTAATTAGATTTGATGTAATTAGAATTGATACTCTCTTCTTTTTCTTTCCGAAGTAAACCGCAATAGCTCATTAAACAATTAGACGCAGGTGCTTTTACGTGACGGAATTTCCATTCCAGTCTTTAATTCAAGTTAATAACCGGCTCTCATTACGATCATTAGTGCGCACAAGCCTATGTTTTGTTATAGATGTTGTTATAGATGTTATAGATGTCAATCGTGGTAGAAAAACGTTAACTTTAATTTCGAAAGTATAAAAGAATATTTTTCTCTCAGAATACGAATAATCGGTAGCGTTTAATGTTTGCGTTAAAATCGACGTTAGACGTGAAGTTGAAAAATTTACGATCAAACGTTTGTCCTGATACTCTTCCAGATTTACCTCGACTCCAACCTTGAGTTTTTCTTCAGAGCCGGTGATTAGGATCGACGAGACACAGGATCGATCGAATGTTTCCATCGCCTACTTTTTGTAGAGCCAATTGTACAACACTCGTCTGTAGAACACTCGCGTTTTCGTCGTTGGCGCAATCATAATTCCGTTCTTGCTGACATTCCAACCTCCCTCCCCCTCCCCTCACTCCCTCTCTTTCTGTATTTCTCGCTCTTTTTCTTCGTGCTACGTTTTCTCGATCTCTTTTCTATCCGCACGAGATAATCTCTTCGATGTATCTCCATTTCACCTTTCAGGATATCATAAAGAAAAACCGAGCCTCTTTCACATTTTTATGTTGTGAAAATCAAGGCGGGTTCGTGTCGTAAAACGTTTCGCGTTTTACGCTGCTTGATACAGACGTCTGTACTAGACGTTTGTATTGTTCGCCGACTATATAAGGTCTACGTGGCTCGATTGTGCAGACAGAGATTCGCCTGGTCTTGGATAGACGCGCGCAAGCATGAAGTCCCTCGTGAGTACACGGATACTCTATCCTGAGCTTTCGCATTACGAGTCTCTCTCGTTCTAGCAATTTTCTATTCTAGCACGATTTTCAATTCTAAAAAAAAAAAAAAATAATCATTTTTCAAAAGCAACGCGCAATTTAGATCGAGAATAGAGTCCTACACAATACTAGACTACTCCGTATCGTTCAACTAAATTTTCTCGCACGATAAAAAGATCGCTTTCACATCTGAATATCTAAATTTCTCGTCTATCTCGTCTGTGAATCTTCCTGAAGAGCCTGCGAGCACGGAGATTTTTTTAATAACTCCACTGTTATCGCCATCTCTTCGCTTGGATTCCCGCTCCTATCTCAAGATTCGAGTGAATCTCCCATTCTCCGTTCGCCCTTTCAGATCGTCCTATCGTGCCTCACGCTGTCGACGCTGGCTTTGCCGTATACGCCTTATCAGGCGTATCACGGTGCGCCTGTCGGATATTATCACGGACCGCCGGCCCCGCTGGACCACGACGGCCGGGTGATCGACACACCGGAAGTGGCTCACGCCAAAGAGGCGCATCTGGCGGCGTACGCCGCGGCGGCCGCCAGGACCGCACCTCAGTACGGCGGGCCGCATTACGCGGAATATCCCGTGAACGATGGAAGTTACGACGGAAGTTACAACGGAGGTTACTCCGGATACCGCAGCGGGTACCACGGTCCACCGGCGCCGCTCGGTCACGATGGCCAAGTGATCGACACGCCGGAAGTGGCCCACGCCAAGGCCGCGCATCTGGCCGCCCACGCCGCGGAGGTGGCCAAGATCGCCCATCATCGATCATACGTGGATCCCTATTCGCATATCCCACAATGGTGACGACCGCTTGTCGAGGATACGTTTTTACGAAAGAAATAACGCTCGTTATTTGCGCTAATAACGGAGCAGTGTCTTTGAAGAAATGTGCCGCCGTCAACGCGCCTCGTCGCGTTTACGTTGGTGTATCTCGAATGGACGTAAAAATATGTTGTGTAAGCACTATAACTGTAACAATAAGAAAATAACAAATAAAATATAATATATGAATAAATGACGCACGTCTCTCGAGTTCTCTCTCTCTCTCTCTCTCTCTCTCTCTCTAGTATCTTCCGCAACACAAAATCGTAATAAATCGATATGAAAAAGAATGAAAGAGTGCAGGAATTAATATTTTATCGTCAATTTTTTTTTTACCTTCCATCGGTTGGTGTAAGAAATATTTTTCGCGCTTTTATAGTGAAGTACTGGCGACGTGCCAAGCGCAGTTACGGTTCAAAAGCACGAGTTTGGCTGTCGATGGCGTATCGATCACTCACGATCGACTGCCACTTCGTCAAGCTCGACTAAACGCCTAAACACGTCGGGATATTGCGTTGGTGACAAATGCGCAATTCCTTTCAGATCAAACGTACCAATAGGGCTCGATCGATGGACTGGCCAAGTGGCCAGTTGCGACACCTCCATCTCCGTTCTAGTAATCCAACAACTATTGTTATCGCCCCGTGACATACTATTGTGATTGATATGACATGTATGGATAAATAATCCCATAAACTGCAGTGTCTTGTGGGTGTAACTCGTTGCGTGATCACGGCTTAAAGATAAAGACACGTGAAATGTACAATCATATCTCTTTTTAATTGCAAAATGCTTAAATACTAGAAGCTTCATCTTGAGCTTGCGTGTTAGTTATATTTTTTTTAAATAAAATCTACTAAAAATTTAGTATCACACTATTGCATTAATTATGTAACGTTTTATATAAACAAGAAAAATCCGTTCCTTGTGCTTTCCAGTTTTTAGCCAAAAAATTTAGAGAAAAGATATTTGGTTTCAAAAAAGAGATGAAATAAATAAATAATATGATTTGTTTAATTGGAAAATTTTAAGAGAGAAGTGAATTGATGAAAATCCCAAAGTGTCTCGACGAACCTTTTGACGATGCATATGAAGAAGCAAGCAAGGTATGAAAATGCCGGAAAAAATTGTCAGAATCGGTAAGCTTCGTCGCTTTGCGACATCGGATCACTTTGACGAAAGCCGGCGGCTTAAATGACTGCGAATTGCAACCGCGGATGACGCACATAGCTGCACGGCTCGGATAGTGCACTTTTATTTGCGACACGAGGTCACGGGACACACACGCATACGGGTGCCATTGTTAACGCACGGCGTAAATGTTACGGGGCACGGCGTGCAGTTAAGGAGAGCATTTTTCCTGGGTGTGGTTGTTACCCCGCGAATCGCGCGGCCACAGTGGGGCACGGCAGCAGCACGCCCGATTGACGCTCGTACCCCTATAAATTGCGCCACGTACGTTGATGGCAGGCGTAATGCGGATCTGAACGCACGTGCCGTTAGCCGCAGTGTCTTACCGAGTGTCTGGACGACCTGGGATACCTTTGGAATACGCTTGAAGTTGACACACCGCGATGATTGGATACCTCGTGAGTACGCTCATAAAATTTGGAGGGAGTCTGTTATAAAAGCAATAAGTTCCACTTGGCGTTCGCAATGCTTGTTTCATCATCGTTTGTTTCTGTTTGACATTTGATGAACAACGAAGATAAAATTCTGACAGCGTTGTGGGCATCAAGTGGAATTTAAATATACTTAAAAGTATAATTGTAATTTTATGTCTTAATTCCTAAACTATCTTTTACATTCATCATCTCGAGGATTAACATCAATTTTTCTTTCGAAAATTAATATTATTTTAAATCTTATTAATATAATTAATTAATTGATTTTCATTAATATCTTGTGTAACTTGTTATACAGTTCGATTAATGCTTCTTTTATTTCTACATTATGAGGAAGAGAGAATTTTTGTTGTTTTCCAATTTTGTACGCTTGCTTTAATGTAATTTTTAAATGAATGTGACCAAAAGAGATGAAAAATTAACCGGATGAAAGAAAGCATAAGATTTTATTTTTTTATTACATCTAGCTCCTCTTCTTCGCCATGTCGAGCGCCATTCTGGCAGCTCCTCAGTGGTATGGACCCCATGCTTCCCCGGCGCCGTTAGGCCCCGACGGTCGCGTGGTGGACACACCGGAAGTCGCACAACTAAAGGCCGCCCATTTGAATGCTCTGGCGGAAGCTAATGCACGTGCACCGAAGGGACCGGGACCAGTCGGCTCTTATCCCGGGCCTAGCGGATACGCTTCCGGAAATTACATTTCACATTACAGGTTTGTTTCACATTTCTTAAAGTAAACTTCCCTGTTTTTATCGTCCCTTAATCTAAATTAGATTAAAGTAATCGGAGAGCCAAAAGAATCGTTTTCCAAGATCGGTGTTTAAGGTTTCTACTTTTAATTTAAATTGCCATTTAAAATTCTTTCACCGATCAGAAGAATCGATCTAGTCAAATTTAACTCTCTCTGAATTAATCTGAATGTGTTACAGCGGGCCACCGGCCCCGCTGGGCCCGGACGGCCGCGTAGTCGACACACCCGAGGTTCAGCAAGCCAAGGCCGTACATTTCTCTCTCTACAATGCGGAAGCGAGGCGCGTGCCGGCCGGTCCAGCCGATCCAGTTGCCACCGGCGCCTACGATCCGTCCTGGAACAATGGCGCCTACAACCCCGCTTGGGATGGCTCGGCCAGCAACTACTATTAATTCGACTCGAAGAAAAAAAAAAAAACGATCGGATTAGGACGACGCACGAAATAGAACGCATTCGGCTCCGCTCATTCGGTGGACGTCGACGATCCTGGCGAAATCGAGATCGCACGAGATCGTCGTACAGGATCACGATGTCTTGCCCCAGCTACCTCAAGAATTGGAAGACTACTCAGATAATACTAACTACCTCTCCTCGATCAGTCCGAGCAAACACGGTTCTCCCTCGCCGATCCTCCGATCGCATCCCTCGATAATTCTCCCGCCTGCACTCTTCAGCGCTGCATTTCATGCATTTCCTATTCGTTGCGCGCGAGTACTCGTATTTCCGGTGTATATGGTAAAAAGAAAATATATATATATATATATATGTATATGGGATAGCAGTGGCGTAAAGACTATTCCGTACCTCTGCGATAATCCGTCCAACATCCCTTAATGACATCCACTCGATTTAAGTGTGAAAAAGTTGAGAGATTTAATTTTTTTAAATTTACATAATTTTAGGAAGTTTTTAACTCTTCGAATTTCTTTCCCTAATTTGCGCGCAATGCAAATTTATCGGCGCGCAGTGCAAATGTGTTGGCTTTTGTTTTTGAATGAAAAGATTCTATTACATTTGGTCACGGTTATTTGTGCGTTTTTACAGCGTTTGTTTCGATATTATCATATTATACCGTTATTCACATCTGCTTTCGAGGGGGTATGCGACACGGGAGATCGTTATCTGCTGAACTCCATTGTTGCATACCTCGTTAGGCACGATTAATCGCGTCCTTGCTAATGGCATGAGTATTATTTAGAATCAGGATAACTGTCTCGCATTATTATCTCGCAGTCATGGAAACCGGTTTTCCTCGTCGTTTCTCCTCGCAATCGAATTTTCATTTCCTGCCGGAATTAAGTAACTACAGATCTATTAGATAATCATCAATGCCGGGATGTCCGTTGCCTTGATTCGCTCTACGCAGTGTTTTCGCTCTACGCAGCCATCCGCAGCAACGCAACACGCACTCGAAATTTCCCTTGCAAAAACACGAATTATACGATGCGTAAATCAGGAGAGGTCCTCTTATTGCTCACTGCGCCTTCAAAAATTGGCCCGTCATTCGAAAGATAATGAAGCTCAATCTTTAGAGAAAAAAATCTTTATATAAATAAAATAATAGATAGATTTGACATCGAAAATTTAATATTAAAAAATATTTAATCTTCAAAAAATAATGAAGAATTATATTTATATGTTTGTCAATTTTTTTAAGTTTATCAATTTAAATCATTACAATCATTGTAAAGGCCTTTGTGTAATAACAATAGTTCCGTATAATTTCTCTCGGCGATAAGGCGATATCAGATAGATTAGTCTCGTTTGAGGTCAACGGAGCAACGTGAGGCAGAAGATCATCTGATCTTGCTCTCATTATAATCGACGCCGACCTGCGCGACGGTAATGCGAGAGACGGAAGAACTCGACCGGCTCGCTCGCCAATTGTTGCGCAAATCTACGCAAAACTGGGTCTCGTAATCCCCCCCCCCCCCGGTACACGTAACGAGTTAGACCACGGTCGCCGACATGGCTGCGGTATTCCACGCAGCATCCGCCGATCTCTATGCGCGCCCGCGGAATTTTTAGTTTTTTTCTCTTCGGGTAGGCGTATCGTCCGACTTGTATCTTTACATCGAGGTCAGTTTAAATTGCGCAGGGTGCTCGCGAGGGAGTGGGTAGCGCGAGATTGCATATCGCGAATGAAATCAGTTTTTTTTTTCTCGAGGGAATAGAGATCTCGATGACGAATCGTTACCGGCGATATATAAAATTTGTCAATTTGCCGATGATGTCACCTGCGGCTCCGCGTTACTTCAGCCCGCGTAGTATCGATCTCGATTCTTCGGTGCTCGAGCTCGCTTTACGATCGATTCATCCTTCTTGCATTCACGGATATTCCACGTCAGTTACGCGAGTTACGAGTTACGATTCCTGACCTTTTCGTGGCGAGGTATTCCGAATCACGATGTGCTCGGGTTCGTTCTCGAGGAACGAAGCTATTATTTCGCTCTCCCGCTCGTTTCTTCTCACGTCTTTCGTACACCGGTGACCTATGTGGCAACATCCACAATCGTAACGCGAGATGACTACAGGTTTCAATACAGGGTTTACATGATATTTCTTAGTTCCCAGAATTAAATCGCCATTAGAATACGGTGTCGTAAATGTACGTGCCTCCTGGGAAATACGCAACGCGTCAAAAAAATAATTATATATTTTTTCAGTAAATTGGTGTCTCTAAATGTGTGTGAACCCCGCGCGAGGGCACGATTAGCCGATTTGCCCCACGGAACATTGCACTTCTTTTTACTCGACAAGTGTCGCGATTTTGCTTACGTAAAATTGCGTGCCGCATTCTTCGCAATCGTACAAGACGATCGTTACGATATCGTTCCGCGGCCAAGCGCACTGCAAAACGCAAAACTTTCCTAATCGGAGTCCCACGACGATCCGATCGCTCTCTTCTTGCTCTTCCGATTTCTATCTGGATTAAGACACAAGAGTTGCGTCAAGTGCCGCTGCGATTTCTTCTACTTCGAGAAACTCTGGCGAATCTCTTTCTTTGCATGTGTCTCAAAATGATAAAAAATATTACTTAATCTAAACTGAATTCTACAAATTAATACAGAACGCATTAATGCACATAGCGAATACGTAAAAAAGAGTCAGTATAATGAACTTCTCATTTACAGAAATTAATTAATTGAGTAATTATATTATGCATTTGATACATTAATTAATTCGTACGATGATAAGATAATATTTCAATCGCATTTAAATCATATTTTAAATGCAATACAAAAAAATGGCACGTAAAACTTAATTACTTATTAAAACTTTATTAAAACCTAATTACTTATTTGATGTTGCACGACAATTTAGAAACATTAATTCTATTATTTTGCAAATATGGTAATTACAATCTATGTTACATATAATATGCTCTTTAATTTACAATAAAAGTAAGCGATTCGTATACTTTTTATTTTCAGTTTATAACAAACAGACATAAAAATAATATAATATAAAAAATAATCGGTTATCAATCATGTGATAATTATTTTTTTAGAAATAGAAGACAAAAAACAGCAAGAAAAAGAGATAAAAAAGAAGGATGAGGATCAAGTTAGAGAGAGAGAGAGACAAGCTTCATCCTATTGTCAAATTTTTTTTCAGCAGTCTTTATATATATATATATATATATCACAATTTTCGAATATTTAAAATAAAAATGTACAAGCGATTGATCTGTGATGAGCGTCATGAGAAACATGATAAATTCGTAGGAAAGGAAAACAATTTATTCATCTAGAGTATGTACAGGCACCGGAACATATAGATCGATTGCGAATCTGCTAGGATTCAATAACTTCCTATCAGATGTTGAGACTGATAATGAGGTTGATAACCTGACGACGGATTAGACACTTGTTGCGTGGAGTAAGGTTGAGTTCCCGGGTACGAAGGGGCCGGGAATGCCCGAGAAGCACCGTAATGTCCCAAATTGGGATTATAGTTGACAGGAGCGGGACCGGGACCTGGTGATCCTGAATAACGAAAAGAATCATTTAGACAATGTCCAAGAGTTTTAAAAAATAAAATGGACGCTCGTTTAATTGTAACAGATTTAATTAGAATTACTTTTCGTGGAATAAAAACGTTTTTTTAATATCCTAGATCGTAAAAATATATTATGTTATACATTTTTTCCGCTAAGCTATCTCTCGGAAATGAGAAAAATATTGTACTTTTATACAAAAAATTTTTTTCAATTTTTAAATTTATTACTTTCGTAATTTTCCGTCTGTCCATCAAACTCTTTTATATCTTGTACTTCGCGTTATTCCGCTGCGAGCAGATTTCAAAACACGTTTCTCATCCACGCCCTATGTCAATCTCCGATTTATGTTGCGGCCCACGCGGCGGGTCATCGGTCTCTCTCCATCTTGCTTGGCTCACCTTGACCCTGATTCTCCTCCGGATGATCGCTCGCGTGTTTGTAAGCCCGGGCTTCCGCCTCGGCGAGCTCGGCTAATCTGGCTGCCTTCAGAGCCGCCACTTCCGGCGTGTCTACGACCGTTCCGTCCTCGGCCAATGGCGCCGGCATGAAGGTGGTGGTTTTCGTCGACAACGCGTAGCTCTTCTGTCCCACGAAATTAGCCCGTGCGTCATACTGCTGTTGGGGATGCTGGTAAGTCACCGGGGCGTAAACAGGCGCTGGCACGTGATTGGCCATCTGATAGATCGGAGTGGGTTGCTGATAACTGGCCTGTCTCAGATAAGGCACCGCCGTCGGTTGGACGGCCGAGTAGCTGTACGCGGGCGACGAGATCTGCGGATTTGGATAATCGGACAAGCGCTGCTGATCCTTTTCATTCTGGGCCGCGCGGGCGGCGGCCTTCGCAAATTCGGCAAAGTGCGCGGCCTTCGCTTGCGCCACTTCCGGCGTGTCGATGACGTTGCCGTCCTCGCCGACGGGGGCGGGTGGCGCGTAGCTCGGTGCGACCTGTTGATGAAGCGGATTTCCGTACGGAGACGAACCGACGTACGCGGCTCTGCAGGTCATCGCCGTGGCGAACAGAAAAATCTAAAAAGAATAAAAACGAATTGGTATGACTCGACTTAGAAGAAATATAGATATTTACAAAAAAAAAAAAAAATTTTGTATTTTCCGTAATCTGTTATGTCTCGAAATTATTATATCACACGGATCTCTCGAACATTTTTCGAAATTATGTAGAAACGATCAGTTCCTAGATGCACTTTAATTATCACGAATTATCGATACATAATCGACAATTGATTCGCCGCTTATCGGGTCATCTCGTTCGGCGCGATCTCGATCGGCATTTCTTGTGTTGGGCGATTTCTTTCGACCTACCCCAACCTTTCACTTTCCTTTGTCCCGGGATCACTCACCAGGCCTCTCATGACGATCCAGGGGCGT